CTTTAGACGCTTGACTTCCTTGATTCGATCGGCAACCGACAGAGCTAGAAATTTCTCACAAACAGATAAAAGATGTGATCCATCGCAGAGGAAACACTTACCCGTATTCAGAGAAGAGGTTAGAGAACTTGTTTTGAGATTTGCAGCACCCTTGTTTCCAGCTTGTGATTTAGAGTGCCCATGAGAGCCCTTGCTACGCAGCTCCCTTTCCTTGAGAGCCCTGTCATTCGATCGTGACTCGATACGCTCTAAAATGAGGCTTCTATTTTTTTTTAAATTCCAGCATGTCACTGTTTCGCTAGATTTTGTTTCCCATGCTCGAAGAGTTTTCACATCGAACTTGTCTTCCATCATATACATAATCATCTCAAGAATCGGGGTAGGTAATCTCTAGAATCTTTAACATTCGTAGGTGCCTGGAAGTATAATCGATTAACTCGCGAAGAGCCTTCGCTGATTCTTTAGCTACGGGCATTGTGAACAAACAAACATATTCAATATGTTTTTTCTTGAGCGACCTAGGATCATCATATCTACTTAGCAGTAATTCCCAAGTCGTTGAATAATTTTGACTCCTTAGCTCGATTGACTCAATAATTTTAGCGGCATCTCCTGAGATTGACGAAACTAAATATTGAAACTTTTCGACATCAGACAGTTGCGATCTGACATGTATGATTGATCGAAAGCTGTCAGAAAAAGCTTTCCAATCCTCGATTTTGCCATCAAATCTCGGTAGTTTGAAGATAGGCAACTTTACTCTACTCTAGGATAGGCAACTTTACTCTATCTGCGTTAATTGTGCCTGCATTGTTTGCCACGCGGTCAAGTATATCGGTTTGTCGCACGAGAATGGCCGACCACGTCTCGTTATTACTACGCGGTGTCATGGCGCCTTCGTGCTGAACATCGCGACGCATTTGTTCCATGAGCACGGTTTGCTGTTGCAACAACTTATTGACACAGCATAACCACGAGTCGGTGCCGTAAGGGCTAAATGGCTCTTATGTGGCACACAACAATAGTGGCGGACCCGCTTTTTAAACCCTGCTGTCACTGCCTCCCCTTTCTCGCGGAAGGGAAGGCGATGACGGTGGGTGAGAGATCCCTCTGGGACCGACACGGGTCCCAGAGCTAGGCTCGGACCCTGGCGGAACCAGAGTGTCTAACGAGCGGATGAATTTCATTTTCAGCTCTTTCAGCTCACATCAAACACCGATGGATGAATGCTTAATGGTAAGCGTTTCCAAATAATGGCGCTCGTTCAAAGGCCAAGATGTAGGAAGTCGTGTTTAGGGTCTGCATGGCTGAGGAACATAAACCGAGCAATCTCGAACGACACCTCCAGGGTACCTGTCGTCCCCCTGGAGTAATCAGACTTAGTGGCGTATGGGTGGGTGCGCCACTCGACTTCTTTCTACCAAAGCAAAAGAAATAACTATATGAAAGTCAATAATAATAATAATAATAATAATAACAACAATAAAGAAAGGCAAAGTCTGAACACCAAGGCTGGGAGAATAGCCAAGATTAGCAAAGGTCGAAATGTCAAGATAATCTTGGAGAGATGCGACGCTCGAAAAGGGCCAATAAAGACAGTTAGCAAACTTCGCGCTGTCAAAATAGCCCTGGAGCGATATGACAATCTGGTGAAGCAATACTAACAACAAAAAAGGCAAGTGGCGAAAACAGACAAAAGGTACCATCGTGAAGTCAGCATAGTCCTACAAAGATGCGGTACGCAAGAGTATGAACCGCAAAGACATGGCATTCAGGCGGCGCACCATCTGACTTCAAGTCAATAAGAGTTAGGATACTGCAGCTGAACATGGGGCGGTCAGCTGCGGTAACAGGCGAGGTAATCAGCTCGTCGCCAAAAAGCAATTTGACATCCTGTTATTACAGGAACCATATGTCAGGAAGCAAGGCGAGAGCCACACCTTTTATGGGTTAGGAACGGGGATGAAAGTTGCTGCAGTGCGCTTGGAGCGCCCATGGGCGATTATAGCGATCAGCAACCCCCGATTGCAGATGATATTCGTCTCGCAGCTTAGCACAACCCACTGTGCGGAAGTGCAGGCCCCTGGCCTATCAATATACGTTGTGTCATGTTACTTTCAGTACAGCGACGAAATCGAGGGCCACCTCAGGCACCTCGAGAAGGTGTTTCATTCCCTGAGGGGCGAGAGACTTATAGTGACGGTAGATGCCAACGCGCGATCGTCGCTTTGGGATTCCCCGAGACTGACGAAAGAGGAAGGAAGTTTGAGATCCTCACCTGCACGTTTGACCTTGAAATAATAAACGAATCCATCAAGAGCCCACCTTCGAAACGAGGAAGGGATCGTCTTTCATAGATGTGACCCTGGTGTCCCCTCAAATAAGCCAACTCATCGGCACATGGAAGGTGAGGCGAGAATGGACAACTAGTGAACACAGTTCCGTAGAGATCGGTCTGAGGACACCAAAGATGGCAAATGACCGCAGGACTGCGAACAGTAGGTTCGACGTACAACGGGCCGACTGGGAATGATTCAGTGAGAGCCTGAAAGATCTATTCGAATCAAGGCTTGGGGCCCTCGGCCCGAGATCTGCGGAGGCAGTAGAAAGAATGGCCGGAGAGTTACAGGAGGTTATCTTGGAAGCATGCGAGAAATCGATGCCGAGAAAAAGAAGTTTTTAGAAAATTGAATCCGTGATGGACGGAAGAACTGACAAAGTTGAAAAAAGAGGTGAGCCGGAAAAGGAAAATGATCCAAGCATCAAGAGGATCAAGAAAACAAAGGACTGAATCCGAAGTTAAATCAGTACCTTACAGCGAGAATATCAAAAGTCCAAACGCCAATACAACAGGGCGATAAGAAGGACGAAGTATGAAAGTTGGCAAAAGTTTGTCACAAAATGCGGCAATGAAAAACCATGGAGCTTTGTATATAAACAGCAAGCGGACAAGCTGAAAATAGAAAAGGTCATAAGCACACTCAGAGGAGGTGAGCACAAAGACCGTAAAAGAGACAGCACAATAGTTGCTAGATACGCATATACCAAATGATCTACGCCACGAAGATACGCAAAAACAAGGCGAAATAAGAAACCTAGCAAAAATAGCACCAGATACAGCGAA